CACCTTTCCAGGAGACAGGTTTGCTTTTGTGTGGACTGACTACTTGTTGTTGGGTCCTGTTGAGTCAGTCCTGACTCATAGCAACCCAATGTACAATTGAATGAAGCACTACCCAGTCCTGCGCTATCCTCACAATAAATACTATGTTTAAGCCCATCGTTGCAGCCACTGTGTCAATCCATCTCATTGATACATCACCTCAAAGAGCCAAGCTGTCAGGCCCTGGTGACTCAAACACAGCTGGAATCAGATATATCTGGGCTGTCTTCCCCCACTCAGGCAAAGAAGAGATCTTTTTACTGCTTATTGAAGAACCTTGAAAGGAAAGTCAATAGAATGTGTCTAAGCAGAGTCCTTAGCCAAGTGAAAGGGTTGGCACATGCTTCACAGGCATTAGTTATAACTCACATTCAACCCCCTGCAGGGGAGGCTGGACATGTATAGCCTCTGGGGAGACTATACATGCCAGGCTATTTGTTTCCACTTATGAAATACAATTCACTTCCACAAAACTAAAATTTTACCTCTTACTCTAGAGCTTTCTCATGTTTGAGATGAAGGATACAGGGGAGCTTGGAAAACCTACCTGAAGGGTTGGAGGGAAAGTTTGCCTTTCTTTTGTTCTTCAAGCTTCTCCCCTTTTCTCCACTAGTCCCTCCCCACCTCCCTCCAACACCCACTTTCCTACACATTCCTGCCCTCTTGCCGCTCCTGTGCCAAAATCTGCCAAGAGACACTTCCAAGGGATTGTGTGTGAGGGAGTGTTCCTTGGTGCTAGTGTGGGCTTCTCCATTCTCAAAAACATCTTTACAGACTGCTTGTAAGGAGCTGTGTTTATCTTACTCATCCCTGTACTCAGCAAGTATTTGTCATATGCATGCAATGAAGCCTCCATGGTCAAACACAGCTGGCTAGAAACAGCACAGCAACTATGAGAAATTGAATGTCATTTTAGAGCTTCAGGAGGATTTTTAGCAAATTGTAACCTAGGGTATTCATTCCAAAGTAATACTTCAGAAACTGGATGGATGCCTAAGAAAGCTGTCTCCCCTTTCCATACATTCAGAACTGTAATTTGTTCACTGTTTGCCAAACTCCTCTCCCTTCTTATGACTTCATCCCCCACTGTTGACTATTCAGAGCTCAGTCATACTATCCTAACCACTGGGCAGTCTCAGACAGCCTGTGGTTTTTCTGAAAGTCAGAGCTCTCAGAGGTCCTATTTGTACAAACAGAGACAGGACCTTCCCTGCTCAGCACCTGCCTTTCATTCTAAGTAGACAGCCAGACACTCCCTTGTCCCCAAACACTTCATATCTTGAATTCTATTCTTCCCCTCACCTGGAATCTCTTCCCCATTCTTTTTGCTTGTCCAAATCCTAGACATCCCTCCCTCTTCTGTGCCTCACTGACCTTTTATTCAGATCTCTATTTCAGCACATAAGAGCATTTGGAAGACAAGGCCTGTTTCTTATTCTGCTTTGTATCTACAGAACCTAGTGGGGTACAGAGTACATCAAGTGAAATCAGTATATGTTGGTTGAACTGAAGGGAGAGTTCAAGTTTCCATTTACCGTCTAACATGTATTTAGTGAGCCATGAGCTGTCCAAAACCCAGCTGCTGTCTAGTCGACTTCAAATCATGGCATCCCCAGTTGTGTCAGAATAGAACTGGGCTCCATAGGGTTTTCAATGATGGATTTTTTGAAAGTTGATTGCCAGGCAATCAACTTGCAAGGTTCCTTTATGCAAAGCTATGTGCTACTTTGTCCTGACTCTCCTTCTTTTCTATGGATTCTTTTTTTCTTTTTCCTTAATTTTTATTGTGATTTGGTGAAAGTTTACAGAACAAATTCTTTTTCCATACATTTTCATGTTCACTTACACTTTGTCCCATGACATTGGCTGCAATTTCCTACAATGCAACATCTCCCTTCCAACTTCCTCCCCATAGTTACCTCTTCCCTGTGTCCTTTCCTCCCATGCACTCCTGCCCCCCAAGCTGTCTCCCTGTGCATACACAGCCCTTCTCTTCTTCCATGATTGATCTCCCCAAGGAGTGTATCTACCTAGTGTAAATGTTCTGCTCATATGCCTGTCTTTTGTTTGGCTGGAAGCCACAGGAGTGGGTTCAATTCTAGACCCAAAGAGCAGCTAGGAGCCATAGTCTCAGTGCTTCCATCAGGCTCTATCAGACCAGCAAACCTGGTCCCCTTTGCAACCCCCCCCTTTTTATGATTTTGAGTTTTGTTCCACATTGTTCTCCCACTCTATACATGATCTCCTACATTTTTCTATGAATTCTTGAACTCCACTGAGTGCTCAGAATCTGCAATGGCTATGGAAGATCCAAAATACCTCCAAAATTACATCCTTGAATGTCATCATCTCTAAATGGACATCTCCCTGTTTCCTGTCCTGGGGAGTAGCAGAATACTTCCCAAAGCCAGAAGTCTAGGCCCTGTCTTGGACCCCTCCCTCTCTTTTACCCTCAATTTTATATTTTAAAATATCTTCAATCAGTCCTTTCTACTCTAACCATATTCCTAATGTTCAGGGCTTCAATGTTCCCCACATAAATTATTACTGTTGCCTGCAACCAGTCTTTTTACTTCCAGGCATACTGTCCTCAAATTCATTTTCCACATTGTCACCAGATTAAATCTTTCTTAAATACAAATTGCACCATATCATTAATCTTCTTAAAATTTTACAATTTTAAGATTCTCTATCACCTACATCAGTGGTTCTCAACCTTTTAGTCACAATGCTCCCTTTTTTATAACAAATATTTTGTAGTGCCCGTAGTATTCTTCTGAAATAAAATCTATAAATATGTATTCCAACTGTGCACAATATTTTAGTTATGAACGTAAAACTGTAATAATAATAGAAAAGAAAAAGTAATTTATTATAAAATAAGATGTATTTCAAAATGTAAATGTCTGAGCACCATTACTCTCTAGACTCATCTCTCCTGACACCACTGTATTCCAGTCGGGTAAGCCCATCTCACATTCACACGCTGGAACCACTTCCTCTCATTCTCCACCTCAATGATTCATGTTCATCCTTCAGAATTTCCTCACATCTCAGCCTTCCCAGGCAGGTCTAGAAGTTCCTTTTCTGCACTTCCAAGCACCTTGTGCTTTTGTGCAGTATAGTACTACATCATTTTCACCCGTTATATATTTAACTGAAATCAAACTAAACCCGTTGCTGTTGAGTAGATTCTGACTCATGGCAACCTCGTGTGTTACAGCATAGAACTACTCTATGGGTTTTTCTCAACTATAATCTTTACAGAAGGCCTTTCTTCTCCAGTACCATTAACAGGGTTCAAATCTCCAACCTTTTAGGTAGTAGTCAAGCACTAACCATTTGTACCCCTCAGGGGTCATATATGTTTAATTACTACAGTGAAAAAAAGACCTTCTTATTATAAAAGTTTTTAAACACAGCATAAGTAGGGAAAGTAGAATAATGAACTCCCATTTATCTATTTCCACATTTTAACAATTTGTCCCACTAGTTTTATACATCTTATTTTTCTTTTTCCTAACATTTCAAAGCTAATACTTAACATGCTTCGTAACTCTCATATATTCTCCACTGTTAAAACAAAAATCATTTTAAGTCAATAATAGAAATTGACTGAAGTTTATTTAACATAGGATTTGAAACTCAGGGTAACATTTGACTGCTGTCGTTGTTACGTGTGGTCAAGTCAGACCTGACTCAGAAAGACCCCTCCTTGGGTTTCCAAGGCGGTATCACTACGGAAGTAGAATGCCCAACCTTCCTTCCGAGGAGTACTAGGGAGTCAAACATGTTCCAAATATAAAAAGAATTTCCAAAAATTCTTATGCCACATGTTGGCATTGCCATGGGCCAGTACAGTGTTTATATAATGACAATTTACCCTAAAACACATTGAGTCTTACTTTGGAGTTCCTTAAAACTGACTAAACATAGATAACTCTTCAAAAAAGCTCACTGCCTAAGGCAAACTGGTTTTTAATAGTTTATCTAGATTATTGTTTGACTTAAAGGAGACTTTTAGGAGACCATTTCCTTTAAGGCCCAAGGTTCAAAAGGACAATGGCTTGGGTGGGTTACCCCACCCTCCATGAAAGCCATAAATCTGGATTGCAGAAGAATTAAAATGTTTCTCATTATGAATCCCAAAAATAACATTTTCATGCGTAATCATAAGCCATTATCACATCTAACAAAGTTAACATTAGTTTCTTAATATCATGCAAAATCCTATTTATATTAAAATTTCCCTATTTGTCACAAATGTCTTTTCATGGTTTATTCTAATAGGATGAAAACAAGGTCCTGCAATTAATAGTTATGCTAAATGCTTTCTAATCCAGAGCAGTCTCCTTCCCCATCCCAACCCTGGCTTTTCTTCTTTCATGACTTCTTTGACTCTGAAGAAATGGTATCAGCTGTGTTATGGAATGACCCACATTCTGAAAATCTGTTGCTTTCTTGTAGTATCATTTAAATTGTTCTTCTATCTACTACTAACCCCCAATGTCCTATAATCTGGAAAGCAGATCTAAATTAAGCCTTTATTAGGTTCAAGTTCAACTCTTTTGGCAGGAAAACTACTTAGGTGGGGCTATGTGTTCCATATTTTATCACATCAGCAGGCAAATAATGTTTGTTATCTCACTTTTATTTTAAGGTGCACTGGTTTCTTTAATGGTTATAGACTAATCTTGCCATTGTAAATTTTCCCATAAAATACCCTATTGGCTTAAGGTATGTGTAATACTAAATTACAATTTACCATTCCATCTAAATTTATCAGCTGATATTCTTCTACTTCCAAAAAATCAGCCATTGAAAACCCCATGGAGCACATTTCTATTCTGACAATCATAGACTTGCCATGAGTCAGAGTTGAATAGTGGTGTAGTGGATTTTTCTGTAAAGAATTTATTGTTATAATTGCCTCTTTCTCCTTACCCTACTTTCTTCACCAGTATATACATTGCTCATCAAGGAAAGGACCTCCGAGGCTATTACGCAGGGCAGCTGGCAAGACTGCATTTTGATTCTAGTGTGAAGAGATATTCCAGGTGAGACACATTCTTAAATCTTAATGTCCCAGAATTTTAACAAATTTAGATTCGGGGAAAAAAAAATACTTTTAGAGTATCTTCTAGGAAATGCATAGAGACCACAGTTTATTAGTGGTTACCAGGGATGGAAGGAGGGGGCCTTGGGGATGTATTGCTTAAGGGAAACTGAGTTTCTGTTAAAGGTGACAGAAAAATTGGAAATGGAGTATGGTTGGAGTGCGGTTGTACAACATGGTGAACATAAATAATACCACAGAATTGTACACGTAAAAATTATTGAAATAGCAAATGTTTTGTTATATATACATTACCACAATAAAAATGTTTAATAGATGGTATACAGAATTTGCAATTATTATTATTAGCAAATTACTTGCAATTATTATTATTAGCAAATAATAAATAGAAGGTTTGGAAGGAAATACAATGGCTAGTTTTTGAGTGGTGGGTGAGATTATTTTGCATTTTATTTTTAATCTTTTTCCCTACTTTCCAGATGTTCTTTAATGAGCATATATTACTTTTATAATCAGCAATAAGTATAGGATTTTATTTAATCATCAAAGAACTTTAAGAGACATCATGAGCTTAGTGTTTCAACTTGGCCAAATAACTTTACCTTCCAGAGAAACTCAGTTTCCTTTTCAGTGAAATTGAGAATTTGACCTAAATGATTTCTGCCCCTCGAAGTGTGTTTTGAAAAAAAAAAAACATAGGCACTTTGCTGTTACTTTATAGTTTTGGGAGGCTGGAAACAGAAGTAGTTAAAAGCTACAATTTGAGTAACTTACGAAATGTTTGATCTTGGCCAATTCCCATTCTTCTCAGGAATATCAGCTGCCTTATCTATTAAATCTGATGGCATAGTGCCTAAGGCATTTGACTGTTAACCAGAAGGCTGCTGGTTCAAACCCACCAGCCACTCGGAAACCCATGGAGGGGTTGCTATGAGTCAGAGCCAACTCAATGACAGTGAGATTTTTTTTTTATGTATTAAATAACTTTTTATGTATTAAATAACTGATATAAAATTTCAGAATAAAGTAAGCAGTTAACATGATTGCTATTATTTTACTAATATGTCTTCTGTTAATTGCCTTTGATATAGTCACTTCTTGATTATCCTTCAAAGAGTCATAGCGTCTATGGTTTAAAGCAACATATAGTCTGAATTAGTTTCCTGTTGTTGTTGGGTGCCACTGAGTCAATTTTGACTCATAGCAACCTCATGTGACAGAGTGGAACTGGTTTTCTAGGCATACTCTTTATGGGAGCAGATTGCCAGGTCTCTCTCTTACAAAGCCACTGGGTAGGTTTGAACTGCCAACCTTTTGGTTAGCAACTGAGCACCTAACTGTTGCACCACCAGGGTTCCTTATTAGTTTCTGAGGGCTGCAATAACAAAATACACTCACTCCTCACTTATCAACATGGTTAGGTTCTAAAGACCAGGTCATCATGCAAAAATCAATGTTGTGAGAAAACAGAGGATGATGAAATCAGATCACAAAATAGAGGATGACTGGGTCATTATATAACTGCTAAATTTCATCATTACATAACTGCCAAACCACTGAGAATCACAGGCTGTCTAAGTTGACACATAACCTTAACCATCACAGTGCCAATGTTACTGGTTTGCATCTTGCCTTGCACCTCAGCATTCATTACTGAATTGTTAATGCACAAAATAGGTAGTAGATTTTATACTTTTGTCATAAATGTGAAATGTCAGATAATGAGATAGTCAATAAGTGAGGAGTAGGTGTACCACCTATTAGGTAGCTTCTAAGAACAGAAATTTATTGCCTTATAGTTCTTGGGACTAATAGTGTGAATTCAGGTTGTCAGCAGAATCATGCTCTCTCTGAAGGCTGTAGAAGATCCTTTGTTTTCTCTACTAGCTTTTGGTAGCCCCAGGTGCTCCTCAGCTTACAGCTGCAGCATAACCCTGTCCTTATATGGAGTCTTCCCTCTGTCTGTCTGTCCAAACTTAATAGGTAATTAAACTGGAAGTAGTTCTAGAGGACATTCTGACTCAATTAGATTAATAAAATGTAGCCCAGAGAAGTGAAATGTCTTATCTGAGGTCACACAGTGAGTATAAACGCTGACTTGAATCTATACACATTTTCTGACTCCCAGTTCAAAGTGTTTGTTCTAACTCAAATACATCCTCATATTAAATTCTTATTAGGGCCATATTCTCTATCAGAGGACAGAAAAGAAAGGAAATGACAGAACCCACTTCCAGGGGTGCTCATGGCCCAAGCAAACTCTGGTGTCCTCTTCCACCCCCCACCTCTACCACTCCCTGCTCCACCCTGACCCAAATATCAGTCCTTCTACCAGATAATGGCTGAATTACAGGGAACCTATACCTGACTCTGACAAGACTTGTGCTTGCCCAAGATTAGCCTTAAGAGGAAAAGTAAATGCAAATATCAACCTATGAGTTTATTAAGCTCTAGCTAAACAAAACAAAACAAACAAACAAAACAAAACAAAACCACAGGAAATAATGCAGTTCTTAGGAACTGTAGTCATAGCATAATTTGAAAGGTGTCTAAAGCTTACTTTCTCTGGATATATTGATCCAGCAACTTAATGTTTTTAGTATTAGAGTTCCTTCTTTGAATGAAAGCCTTCTTTTCAAAAGAACATTGATTTATTCTTTGAAAAAGAAGAGTATTCTGGTTCTATAGAAATAACCACAAAAGTAGAGGCTGGCTGGGAATTTCAGTGGGGTAATTGGTAGCAGTGGCCTTCAGGATCTGGTTCAGAAGCCAGCACTGCCAGTGGCACATAAGTGCCACATAAGTTGTCAGTAGCAAAGTACCCAAATGCACAAAAGACTGACACATTCACCGGTCAGCTATTGTTCTATTGACAGCAGGAAACATACTTTTGTAGTGAAAAGAGTACTACCACCCACTATTTAAGGCACCTATTCTACAGAATTAAGTACCTGTTGAGCACATAATAACAATTAGAGGGAGGACTTCTGGCAAGATGGCAGAATAGGCAGACAAGCTCCATAGACCCTCTACAACAAGGAAACGAGAAACAAATTAAAACATACAGAAGACAATCTTGGAACACTGAGCTTCGAAACGAAGGAGGAAGAAGTGAATTAAGTACTAGCTAGTAGAAGAAACTGAATGAAAACAGCAGACAAGAAGACAAAGGGAGTTATGGCATATCCATTTTGAATATTCGCTAGCAGTGTTTTGATCCAGGCAGCAACCTGATAATTGGCTCAGCTTGCCAAAGACTGCATGGCAACCATACTGGTGGCTGATGAACAGAAAGCAACCATGCACATGACCCAACCACATCTGCACCTACTGCAGGCCCACTCACTGGTTGAGGGTCACTACCTGATTCTGCACCAACTGATCAGTGATAGACAGTGGCCAATACAAGTCCAACCTGCCCTCAGCTGCTCTACATGAACAGCTAACAGAGATCTGTGCACACATTCTCATCCTCTATTACACACATCAGAAGACAGGTAGTGAGTGCCTAAGTACTGCAAATCCTGCAAACAGAGTAGTACACCAGCCACGATTGCTGAGATACAGCAAAACAAAATAAAGAAAGAAAAACAAGAACAGTGTGGACAAATCACACCAACATACAGCCACCAATTAAATATAAATACAACTACATCACAATGTCTTGGAGACAACTGATAATTCTAGTTCACACAAAGAAGCAAGATAAAGAAGTACAAACAAGGGACCAGAATACAGAGCCAGAAAATCTCACTGAAGGAGAAGTGGCATTGGAAATACATGATAAGGGATTTAAAACAATTATATTTAGGTGGCTTCAATGGATTGAAAGACAGATCAAGGAAAACACTAAGAAAATTAAGGAAAACACAGACAAAACTCTAGAAGAATTTAGGGAAATAATATAAGAACAAACTAACAAATTAAATGAAAAATTAGAACTGATTCTAAATCTACAGATAGAAATCCAGAAGATTAATACTAAGATTTCAGAAATAAATAACACATTGAAAGGGCAAAGGGGTAGAACTGAATCAACTGAAGACAGAATTAGTAAGATTGAAGACAACTCTCATTAATTTGTTAAGGGAACAATAAAAAAAAAAAGACCAAAAAACAAAACAAAACAAGAAAGCTTAAGATTTATGTGGGAAATCATAAAGAGGAATAACTTACGTGTGATCAGAATTCCAGAAAAAGAAGAGAGAAGTAAAACCACAGAGAAAATTGTAGAAGATTTTTTGGGAGAGAGCTTCCCTAATGTGATAAAAGATGAGAAATATACATTCAAGAACTTCAAGGAACCCCATACACAAGATACACCCCAAAAGAAAATCACTAAGACATATCATACGTAAACTTTCCAAAACTAAAGACAAAGAGAGAATCCTGAAAGCAACATAACAATACACAAACATGATCTTATTTGGCAAGCAGTAAGACTAAGCTCTGATTTTTCAGCAGAAACCATGGAGGTAAGAAGGCAATGGGGGTGACATATATAAAACCCTGAAAGAAATAAATTACCAACCAAGAATTATAAACCCAGCAAAACTGTCCCCCAAATATGGTGGCAATATTAGGACATTTCTAGATAAACAGGTATTAAGGAGATTTGTAAAAACCAGACCAACCTTACAAGAGATTATGAAGGGAGTCCTTCAGACAGAGAGACACAGAAAACAACAAATGATTAACACAAATGACAACATAACCCAGAAACCAACCCAGATATAGACATATCCAAAGTAAAATAAACTAACAAGATTTCAAGCGAAGAACCAGACACACCAATTGGTAAATGAGGAAAACTACCAAACCGAAAAATGAAATAAATAGTGTAGGTACAGAACTTCCAAATGGAAAGGAAGTCAAGATAATTTCAAGATAGAATGGGCAGAAAACAATAAATCACAGGGTAACATCAAAGAAAATTAATAAATTTTCTCATCAAAATAGAAAAAAAGGAAAGGCACAAAT